AGGCTAAAACAGAACCTCAGGTGTTTTGCCAGAACAACTAAACCAAACAACCTAGTGGAAGCCAAATGGTTTGCCAGACAATTTGAAAAGGGGCTAAAGACTAATGAGCTTAGTAAATCTGCTTCCTGGAATTCCAGACCACCCCCACAACCAAAACCTTACCATTCCCACCATACTGACACTACACTCATATCCAACAGCCCTAAACCTATACCATTAGCCCAATCATCTAACTCACCCTTCCCAGAATTGACAAAATTCAATGCACAAAGAAGATGTTTTAGGTGCTTTGAACCATGGCAGCCATGACACAAATGTAAGGAACCTACTTTCAACCTAATTGAGGATCAGGAGGAATATGAGGATCAAAATGTGTCTGAACAGCCTGAAGAAGAGAAAAACAGTGAGGAGGCTGAGGTTTCCCTATGTGCAATAGTTGGAGGAGAAGGCATGAATACAATCAAGTTATTAGACCACATCCAAAAACAACAGTTGGTGATTCTTGTGGATAGTGGTAGTACCCATAGCTTTTTGGACCCCAAATTAATCAACCAATTAAGGAGGGAACCTTGAAAGCTAAGCCACTGATTGTGACTGTGACAAATGGTGAGAAGGTGCTATGATTCAATTTGCCAAGGGTTGAGTGGGAAATTCAAGGGGAAGAATTTATTAAAGATTTCAAATTATTGAGGTTAGGAGGATGTGACATGGTTTTGGGAATGGATTAGGTGAACCAGTATGCTCCCATTCAGCTGCATACTAGACCTCCAAGCATTTCTTTTCACAAAGAAGGGAAGAATGTATTTCTAAGAGGATTAACCAGAAAGATACTGTTGAAAGAAGCTTATGGGAAACAAGTTAGAAGGTGGCATAAGGAAGGAGTGATAGGATTCCTGGTGCAATGTAGAACCCCTTTCCCTACAGAGCTAGAAAAGCAGTTTACCTAACCTCAACCCACAGTGAACACCCTAAACTCACCCTTATCCTACAGGAATTTCAGGATGTGTTTGCTAAGCCTTCCACACTTCCCCCCAAAAGATCCCTTGACCACTCCATTCCCCTAATTCCAGGGGCTAAACCAGTAAACAATGGCCCTTATAAATACTCATTTGATCAAAAGAATGCTATAAAAAGGATGGTGGAGGAGATGTTGTCTGCTAGGGTAATTGTTCCAAGTACATCCTGTTTTGCCTCACCTGTTCTATTAGTACCCAAAAAAGACAACACTTGGAGATTTTTTTATAGATTACAGGGCACTGAATAACATTACCATCAAAAACAAATTTTTCATACCAGTGGTAGAGGATTTGTTTTCAGAACTTGCAGGGGCAGGCTGTTTCTCTAAACTGTATTTGAGATCAGGATACCACCAAGTGAGGATTAAAGAGGGGGAGGAATTCAAGACATCTTTTAGGACTCACCAAGGACTCTATGAGTTCAAGGTGATGCCCTTTGGGCTTACCAATGCCCCAGCCACATTCCAAACATTGATGAACCAGGTTTTTCAACCATTATTGAGGAAGTCTTTACTAGTTTTCATTGATGATATATTGGTTTATAGTTCCAACTGGGAGGAATATTGGAAACACCTCATGGAGGTCTTACAGCTTATGAGGAGTCATGATCTCTTAGCTAAAATGAGCAAATGTTCATTTGCCCAAGATAAGGTGGAATACCTAGGCATTTCATCTCCAGGGAAGGCTTAAAAACAGATCTTGCAAACCCCTAAGCCTCTAACAGTCAAGGCTTTGAGAGGATTTCTAGGGTTTGTTGGGTACTACAGAAGATTTATAAGGTTTTATGGGATTATAAGCAGACCCCTCACAAATTTGCTTAGGAAAAATGCTTTTAAGTGGACTGAGGAAGCTGACATAGCCTTTGAACAACTCAAACAGGCCTTGTGCAGTGCCCAAGTGTTGGCTCTTCCTAACTTCCAAAAGGAGTTTATTGTGGAGGCAGATGCAAGCTATAAGGGTGTGGGGGCTGTGTTTCTTCAAGAAGGGAAGCCAATTCCTTTTTTCAGTAAGGCCTTTGGAGAAAAACATCTAGGGCTGTCCATCTATGAAAAGGAATATCTTGCTATCATTAATGCCATTGATAAATAGAGATCTTATCTCTTGGGGAGGCACTTCACCATTATAACAGACCACCACAATTTAAAATTTCTCCTAGAACATAAAATTACCACTGCCATGCAACAAAAAGGGTTCACTAAACTGTTGGTGTTAGACTACACCAGCAAATATAAGAAGGGGTCAGAGAACTGTGTGGCTGATGCCTTATCTAGGCAAATGATGGAGGGGGAACCTGCACTGAAATCCATCTCAACTGTGCAACCCCAATGGGTAGAGGTGGTGGAGAAAAGTTATGAGGGGACACATGGGCTACTAAGACACTAGCAGCTATTTTGGTGAGCCCTACTGCTGAGCCTGACATTTTTGTGATAAGGGGTATACTAAGGTACAAGCAAAGGATCTACATTGGATCCTCTGGAGAGTTAAGGAAAAAACTGATATTGCAACTTCATGAATCCCCTCTGGGAGGTCATTCTGGCCAACAAGGTACTTACCAAAAGATGAAACAATTATTCTATTGGAAAGGGATGAAAAGGGAAGAAGCAAAAGTGGTGAAGGTGTGTGATGTTTGCCAAAAGTGCAAGAATGAGAATGTGGCAAGCCCTGGACTCTTACAGCCTTTAGCTATTACAGATGAGGCCTGGAAAAGTATTTCCATGGACTTCATAGAAGGACTCCCTAAATCCAATCAAAAAGATGTCATTTTGGTGGTGGTAGACAGGTTGACAAAGTACAGTCATTTCATTGCAATATCTCACCCCTTTGCTGCTGAAAGTGTTGCTGAAATCTTTATAGAAAATATATATATAAATTTCATGGCCTTCCTAAAGATATTATATCAGACAGAGATAAGGTATTCACTAGTAAGTTTTGGCAAGCTGTATTCAAGAAACTGCAAGTCAAACTGAATCTCTCTACTGCCTACCACCCTTAGACAAATGGACAAACTGAGAGGGCGAACAAATGTCTTGAAACTTACCTCAGGTGCATGGTTTTTCAAAATCCTAGGAGTTGGGCTAGGTGGTTACACTTGGGCACTTGGCATAATTATGGTATAATACAAACTATCACACCTCCTTTAAGTGCTCACCATTTCAAGCCTTGTATGGCTATACCCCACCTGTAATGGGAGTAGGAACTCCTACAAGGGGAAGGAAACTTAGATGGCTTTCAGAAAGGGATTCTGTCCTAACTGTATTGAAGGAGAATTTGAGAATTGCTCAGCACAGAATGAAGCAACAAGCTGATAGCGGGAGAAGTGAGATGACATTAAATGTGGGGGACTAGGTATACCTCAAGCTTCAGCCTTACAGGTGACAGTGGCAGTCATAAATAACCTAAAACTCTCCTTTAAGTATTTTGGGCCATATATGGTGGTGGAAAGAATTGGTGAAGTAGCTTATAAGCTGCAATTGCCCCCTGGGACACTCCTCCATCCAGTTTTTCACATCTCTCAGCTTAAGAGGAAGGTGGGAGAAGGGATTGTACCCCAAACTGACCTTCCAGCCACAGGACCTGAGGGGCAGGTGTTGGCTAAGCCAGTAGCTGCCTTAGGGAAAAGACTGGTGGAAAGAAATAATGTAGCAGTGACACAAATCCTTGTGCAGTGGTCTAACTTGCCCAAAGAGGAGGCCACTTTGGAGGACTACTATCATGTGGTGAGCCAGTTTCCTTTGTTTGATCCTTGGGGTCAAGGATCCCCTGAAGGATGGGGTATTGTAACAACTTTGGAAGGGAAGAACGAAATTAAGAAATGGAAGAAGGCTGGAAGAAGAAGGAAGAAAGCTGAGGCAGGATAGGAGTACACAACGTCGTCTGAAATACAGCAGTTGAAAGTCGTTAAGGAGGGTTCAGACGACGTCGTTTGAAGCTAAGCGGTTGGGGCCTCGTAGGAGAAGCATCCAACGACACCGTTTTACCCTTGCATTTATGAATTATATTTCCCTTTTATTTTTGTGATCTTAGCTGGATTGTTAGGCAGTTATGCTTAGTCAGGAGCTGATACATATAGTGTTGAATATGCATGTAGGGTTTTTCTATGCAAAGTTTAATCAAATTACCTCTTTTCTGTCAGAAATTCCCAATCCATTACACGATTCGGCCGATTACTAGCTAAAACTCCCGAAATAGAGTATTTATGAACTATTATTCCTAAATTATAAAAAAAAAAACCTAATTCGAACAAGAGCATCATTAGAATAGTATTATTTTTTGGCAAAAAAATTAAAAAAAAAAAAAAACTGCAAAAGCGATATAAATTAGTGAAAAAAAAAGTTATCGTAAACAATAAAAACATGAATCGCCGGTCAAAAATCGAGATGGGTTAGCCGGAAATGATTTACGAGTATAACTCGGACGGAACCTGAGACTCGATCGGAGTTGTACGTCCGGGAAGATAAACTCTGAAGTCTGAACTACCAGGAATATCGTTGTCCGGTGACTAGGACATGCAAGTTCGAGAATTTCGGCAACACTTAGGGATTTAACCCATACAAAATCAAACAATCCAGTCAGAAATCAAAGATTCCGGAAAAGATATATTGATTTAACACTCAGAAAGAATGAATAATTGATCGGAATGGTTCAATTTTTAGTGAGAAGTTTCGAATTTCTTCATCGTCTATCTTCCCATAGAGAGAGACAGAACTCAAGAAATGAAGAAGCATCGACAGTATACTTTCCCCATTTCTAGATAATAATAATAATAATAATAATAATAATAATAATAATAATAATAATAATAATAATTATTATTATTATTATTATTATTATTATTATTATTATTATTATTATTATTATTATTATTATTATTATTATTATTATTATTATTATTATTATTATTATTATTAATGGGGCACCACAAGGTTCCAATATTATACTAAGACGGTGTTGTTTATATTATTAATATTTTGGGATGAAGCTACAATGATGCACAAGTATTGCTTTGAAGCTCTAGATCGGACCATGAGGGATTTGTTGCGGTTTGTAAACCCTAATAGTTCCAACAAGACTTTTTGTGGTAAAACAGTAGTACTGGGTGGGGACTTCCGTCAAATTCTACCCGTAATTCCCAAAGGTACTAGACAAGATATAGTTCCTGTAGCTATCAATTCTTTCTATTTGTGGAACAGTTGCAAGGTAATGAAGCTCACAAAGAACCTGCGCTTGAATGTTGTACAAGACTTTGTAGAACAACAATCTTCACAACACTTTGCAAATTGGATAGCTTCAATTGGCGATGGCAAGATTGGTGGACCTAATGATGGTTATGCAGAAGTAGAAATACACAGTACTATGTTACTACCATTCTATGGTTACCATATTAAAACCATTGTTAGAAGTACATTTCCTATGTTTGCAAATGGTAATTCTAATGCAAGTTATCTTCAAGGGCGTTCTATTCTAGCACCAACTCTAGAGGTAGTGAAATCAGTGAATGAGTATATAAGTGAGTTGCATACGGCTGAAAGTAGAACATATTTTAGTTGCGACACAATATGCAAAGCTGATGCAGACGCTGGAATACTTGGTGATGTTCACACACCTGAATTTTTGAACGGCATTAGAGCTTTAGGTGTTCCGAACCATGCATTAACTCTAAAAATTGGTTCACCAGTCATGTTGTTAAGAAATATTGATCACTCAGTTGGTTTGTGTAATGGTACGCGGTTGGTAATCACCAAGTTAGCAGACTGTGTAATTGAAGCTGAATTAATGGATGATGCTAACAAAGGAACAAAAGTCTTGATACCCAGAATGTCCATGTCACTGTTTGATACCAGGTTTCCATTCAAGTTTCGACGAAGACAATTCTCGTTGATGTTATCATATGCAATACTATTAACAAAAGTCAAGGACAAACATTGTCACATGTAGGATTGTTACTTTTTTTTTTTTTTTTTTTCCAAACTGTGCATTTATTTCATATCTCAAAAAGGCCAAAGCCTACATAAAGACGCCTTGGCCCCAAAAGTGAGCCATGGCTCACAAAGAGTATGATATGTACAAGGGTGGCCCAAAAGTGACCACCCTAACACAAAATTATAAAACAAATGGCCTAAGGCCTAAATCAAAACACGGCCAAAATGGCCTAAGTATCATCAAGGCCTTCGGCCTTCTCAACCCAAAACTGGCCATAAGGCCTTCCACCATAACCGGCCATAATGGCCTACTCCCAACCGACCCACGGCCATAATAAGCCAGGTGGGCTTAGCCCATATCCACAAGTGGCCCACGCCATCAGAAAATTCCTTGGGCTAATTAATTAAATTAGCCCAATCTTGCAAACAAGAGAACCGAACCCACAGCCCATAACATTCCTTAAAAATCCCTTGGTCCACCAAGTATGATGGACCAACCTTATATCTCCCACAGACCCAGATTCCTGCCTTCTTAAGCTGCTCATTCCTTGAGCATCATGAGCCTAAAATCTATTGTGATCCAAAAAAAAAAAAAAAAACAATACCACTCTATATAAGGCACACACAAGACATCATTTCCCATGATAGGATCAATCCCATGGCAACCATTCCTTCCACGAAAGCTTTGGCAAATGGCTGCAGACCATAGCATATCTTAACAACTCCATTCATATTTTGTAGATCAGAATCCATTATGTACTGTCCTGATTCTCTTTGTTTAATCCCAGCTTCATATCACATATGAACCTTAGCCTTTCCAAATCCACTCTAATTCCAAATTCCAGCACTTCTAATCACCATTGGCAATCTGCAGATCATACCTGCAGGCCCCCTTTCAGCTTCATCAATCCTCAGAGAGCCTTGTATCTACATCTTCCTTCTGCAAAACATCTCATCAAAACTCCAGGTTCCCCACAGGGGGGTTAGTTCACAGCAGCAGCCATCCACCCCAATAGGTTGCTGCCGTCTAAAGATTTCAGTTTTCATGAGGATAGCCTGGGCCATGTCTTCTCCAGGTCCATCTACAAATCTTCCCTCCAATCAATTCCAGATTTGCCCTTAATTGACAGCCCAACTTAGTTGATGGATCAAAGCAGTCCTCTTCTAGCTCAGACTTAGCCAGTTCAATAAGAATAATGCAAGCCTTTATAGCCATGGCATCCTCATCCTCCACATGTCTTTTTTCCTCTTTATCATATACCACATCCATATAGGACTTTATGACCTTCAACACCCCATCCATCCAATCATAACTAACCTTCTCTATTACCTCACTCATCCACACCTGACAATCTTCAAGATATCCCTCCCCCTCACTTTCCCCTTCCTCATCATACTCTTCTACACTATCATCATCTAGTTCATACCCCTCTTCTTCATCATTATGAACCAGCTCAGCTTCACCACCCCTTACTAGCTCCCCAGGTTCCTCCTTTTCCTTCCCACCCTTTTTTGATATCTCTTTCAATTTCTCCATATATAACACCTTTGTTTTTTCCACTATTTCTCCTTTCCTTTTTTCAAACTCTTGTAGCCCCATCTCCTTCTTTATTTTGGCCATGTATGTGTGCATCTCCTGCTTAGCTTCCTCCCACACTTCCTTGTTGACTATGAAGGACCTATGCCCAGCCACAGAACTGTCCTTCACACCAGAATCCTCCTGCACAGCCCCCTTTTCCCTCTGCTTAGAGGTCACTACATGTTGACTGCCTTCAGATGATCCTGCAGGTAAGGAATGCCCTGCTTTTTGTTCTTTCAGAGCTGTGCCATGCACTTCCTCTTCAACCATATCATCCCATTTCCTTTCTTGTGACTGTTGATTCTTAGCTTTACTCAGCTTCCCTTGTTCTGGGCCTCCCCCAGCCAGCCTCTTAGAGCCAGATATGTTTCCAATGTTACCTCCTTTATTCTCAAACTCAGCATCAGCCACCTTTGTGCTATCCCTCCCCTGTTCATTTTCCTTCTGACCAGGGCCAACTAAGGCCTGGGAGATATTCATTTTAGGGTCCTTGGAGCTACCCAAGCCATTGGAAGCCAAATTCTGCCCTCCCCCCTTCACCTGGACCTTCCCATAAGCTTCCCCTTTCCTTGCTTCTACAGCTTTCTCCTTTGATTTTGAATTTTCAGCAGTCTCAATAGCCCTTTCTTTCAAGACTTTGGTGGCAACTTCATCCAATAAATTGTCCGCAACCTCCCTTATAGGATCCTGAACCAGTTGTTCCTCATTTATCCCATTCAAGCTTGCTCCATCCCCTTTCCCAGGGTTGGGCAGATTCTCAGGGGCATTTCCACAAACATGTGGCGTGCCATCTTCTTCAACTATTCCATTCGGATCTCCAGCTCTCACATTCTTACAATTGGATCTCTCATGGCCAATTCTATAGCACTCAGCACAAAATTTAGGCACAGCTCTGTCATAAACAACTGATTGCCAAAAGCCTTTCCCCCCCTACCCCAACTGCTACCCAGATTTTACTCAAAACAGGTCGCTGGAGGTCAATTTCCACTCTGACCGAGGCCACATTAGGCCTCGATCGTTTCTCCGTAGTAGAATCCAGAGCTATCATCTCCCCCATCGGAGAACATAGCTTCTTTAACATACAAGCATCAAATAAATGAAGTGGGAGGTTCGGAAAATGTATCCATACCGGAATCAGAGGAGAATCGCATCCCGGCTTCCATTCCGGCGACCACCTTGCAATCCAAAAGCTCTCGCCATCAATCGTCGCTCGGTTTCTCAACAGCGCTTTTTTACAATCTAAATCGGACGAAAATCGGAGAAGCACTGTGTTCGCATTCACTGATCCCACCTGCACCTACTCTTTCGCAAGGACACATTCGCGGATTTTAGACCTAATCTGAGCAAGCGAGGGGGGGGGGGGGGAGATTTCTCATAAACTTCCCAATCAGAGTGGATTTGCGCTCATTCTCAGCCAATCTCAGCCAGTCCTCTTGTAGAATCCGAACAGAGTCCTTCGATGGTCCATCCTCAGTCGTATCTATCTACCCCACGACTCCATAACGGAGAACCTCTCGTCTCACTAATCTCTGGAAATCGAAGTGAATCGTGAGGCCTAACCTCTGACCAACCTCTGCAGTTAGGATCCTCATATGATCTCCCGAGAACCGGCGTCAAATTCGTCGCCGGAAATCTTTCCTCCGCCGCCGCCGGCGGTGGCGCCGGCGGCGGACCTCCACTGCCCACCAGAGCTGGCGGTGACCAACACCTCACGGAAATTATATGTAAACAAAATATGTGTTATGAATGTTATGTTATATGAATATTTATGTAATATTCATATAATATGACATGATTTTTGGGTATTTTGGTAAAAGGGAGTTTTTAGAGTGAGAGGGGAATTTTAGTGAGGGTAAGATTATACTTAAGTAGGATTGTTACTTAAAAAACCAGTTTTTGTGCATGGTCAATTGTACGTGGCTGCATCTCGAGTTAACAACCAAGTGGTCTTAAAATATTGATTGCCAACGACTCAAGAACAAATGCTACATCAACAACCAACATGGTATACACTGAAATCTTCAATAATTTTTATTGTGTGACACTTATTTTTTAATATTGTATGTTAACGGATTTTCATTATTGTTTCTATTTTGTAATTTCAAAATTTTAATTTAATAATGTATTAAATTATTCACACAAGTAGACAATATCTTGAACAATATCCATCCCGTGCATCGCACGAGTACTATACTAGTTATCTAATTAAACAAATTAGATAATATCAATATTATCCAAAATATATTCAAACATACTAATATTAAAAATAATTAATATTTATCAAAATTTAAGTATCAACACTTAGCACCTAATTCCCTAAATTCCAAAAACAAAAAATAAAAAAAAAAAACAAAAAAAAAAAAAAAAAACAAAACAAAACAAATACACTCATTCCTTGTGAATCGACAGCCCAGAATACTCCTATGGCCCGTTTGGTTCGCGGAATAGGCTTGGAATGGAATAGCATTCCCAGTAATAGGCCTATTCCGGTGTTTGGTAGAAATTTCTATTCCCAGGAACATTGTTCCTGGGAATGACCTATTCCCCTTGCAAGGGGAATAGAGATTCCCCCCCCCCCCCCCCCCCAAGGTATTAGGCGATTCCTAAGTTCTCAGGAATAGCCTATAATTGATATTTCCTATTTTACCCCTCAACTAAATCTAAAATTTACATTTCTTTAATTTTTATATGAATTTTTCTATTTTTTTTTGTTAGAACTTGTAACCATATTGATAAAAACAATGAGCAGAAATGTGAAGGTCCAAGCATTCAACAAGAATAAAGTGCAATACAATATATGAGGAAGACATCAATTCTAGAGGGACATGCAATGATGCCAAAGTATTACATTGTATTAGCTTAGTCCTTCTTCTCAAAGTTGCTTTCCAATTCCTTTCTAAGTTGCAGGGAGAAGTCGTCATTGACATCATCATCATCCAGCCATCTTCCCACTGCTGGGTTACTTCTTTCCCCTCCTCTTTGTCCTCCCACTCTTGGTCAATTTCAAACTTGTCGTCATCTTCGAAGAGATCCATTTTCACGCCTTCAAGCGCCGGCTTTGGTTGCTCGGTTGCCATTCTACAGTCAATCCCTAATTGCATTGATGGAGAGATTTAGAGAAGGGTTCTTCGCTTCGGAATTTTTCTATTTATTATATCTTTTTTATAAATAAGTATATTAATTATATACATACATACATACATCAAAACACCCCTATTGCCGCCCCGATGCCATCTGCCGCCACTGCCCACGCCGGAGGCCGCCGCAACAGTTCGCCGGAGAGGAGGACTTGGTCCAGATCTGCTGCCATCCATCAGATCTGCTGCTCATTGTCCAATTCACGCCGGAAAAAGGTCAAGCGCCTTCGAGCTTCGCCGATCTACTCGTTGCTGCCTCGATCTACCATCACCGGAGCTCCACCATCTCCGCCGTCGCTGACTGAGGAAGCAAGAGAAAGAAGAAGGTAGAGAGACGGAGGGTGGTGGCTTGTTCAAGGTAGAGAGACGGAGGGTCGTCCATGTTCACAGTGGTGGCTTCTTGCGTCTGCTAGATTGAACGAAGAGAGAGACACAAGGAGGGGTTGAAGATGAACTAGGGGTGTGCACGGACGGGTTTCGGACGGTTCGGATAGTCGGGGGACTCATCCAAGCGGATAGCGGGTTTGTAATTTTAACCCCAATCCTTTTTTTTTTTGGAAATCCGTCGGATAAATGAGTTACTAAATCCTATCCGATATCCGACTATCCGTCGGTTTAGTTGGATATTTGTGAATAATTAATAAACTGCAAAATTGAATATATTTTTTTTTATAAAAAAAGAGCTTATTTGAGTACAAAGTCGAAACTTTTTGTAAACAACTTCAAATTTCTATAGACAGTAACTAAAATATATACTAAATTAGTACTAATCACTAACTACTTAGCATAAGATTTTCCCTAATAATGTATATTGTATATTATATATTAGGGTCTTAATTAAGTGGTGCAAGTTGACTAGGCTTATTAAGTGGTCTGGTTGGACTGAATAACTAGAAGTTGTTAGTCAACCAGACTCTGTGCCTAATATAATCCTGGATTGATGGGATACAGGATGATTGATGTTAGCACATTCAGTTACGGTTCTTAGACTGCTTAGTAGATACCAATACACCATCTAGGGTTCTAAGTCAGGTCTGAGGCAAAACATGGCTAACGGACTACTATTAAGATGCAACGCAACAGGAACATCAACTATGGTTGGAGATACACGGCTATCGCTACCGCTCATACGAGGTCAGATCTCTCGTATACTATTGTTCAGTATTAGTTAGACTATTTAGATCTAACATTTGATCCCTCACTTTAAACAATTCTGTGCAAGGTGGCAACCTTATTTCCTAAGTTGCAACTTTGATGACTTTGATCCTATTCCTGATTAGCGTGTCCTCAAGTTTGGAACCTAAAACTTTCGTTCTCTTTTCCTTACCGAACCGAATCTTTTCAAAACATAGTGTATATATATATATATTTTCCCGTAAAATATTTTCTCTATATACTATCATTTTTTTATGTGTGACGCTCTATCCCCAAAATGATTTTCTAAGCTTCGGGGACGAAGCGTCTTTTAAGGGGGTGAGGATGTGACACCCTGTATTTTCCTAAAAAAAAATTATAGTCCCGATATTAAATATTTTACTAAAAATATTTATAAATTATTCTGAAAATTAGCTCGAGTCTATCTAGTATTGTGAACCAGTATTTTTGTATCCAAATATCCTGAGCCCAAAATGGTTTTAATCTCTAAAGCCTATTAACCATTCTTGAGCCCAAGTACATTTTTCCTATATAAGTCTTGCACCTAGATAGTCAAGCCCATGAGTATATGTAAATATATATGTACTATTTTGTATGCCCAAATTATAGGTGTGTATAGTTCTTGACCCAAAAGATTTACCCAACCCAATTACCTAACCCCAACCTAGTATTAGTAACCCTATCCTATGTTAGATGAATATATCTTGTTTCCTCTTCAAGCTTAGCAGCCAAACACCCCTCTCGTTCACCTTCATCAGTCAAACACGCCATTCCATTCCTTGTAACTCCCCTCAACCATCGGCGGCAACAAGCATCAACCTTCCGTCCAACTGTGGCGTGGGTGGCTTTCTTCCGACGGAATGGTGGTCCGGCGAACCTGGGCTTCCCCTCCGGCAACCTTGGCGAACAGCAACCTTCTTCTGCCTGGAGCTTCGAACTCGAGTAAGAGGTGTTCAGCTGTTCTGAACGTGTTTTGGTGGTGAACCGGCGACCTAAGCTTCTTTCGGCGTCTCCTCTGTTCTCCGCGATCGACGATGGTAGCGTTGGTATCCTTTTTCCTTCTCCAGCGTAACTTGGTGGTCCGGGAACTACGTGTTTCCAGGTGCGGCGTTCTTCCCGTTCTCCTCCTTGATGCAACGGGCAGAGTGGCGTGTGTTGCACCTCCCGAGCAACCACCGGCTGTCACCCTTTTAATGAAGCAACCAGTGGCTTCCTCTGGCGTAGCTTGTGGTCTCCCGGCGTGGCTGAGCTGAGCACCGATGGTGGCAGGCAACATGGTGGCTGATGGAGTTGGCGAGCAGTCTGGAGTGCCGCTTGCCAGTACGTGAAAAAGACAAAAGGGTGAGCTTCGTTCCTATGTTGTTGTTGTTGTTTAATTGGGTGTTAAATAGATTTGTTGTTAATTAGGTTAATAAGATGTTGATTAGCTTAGTTGTAAGGCTTTGTTTAGTGTTTAATTTGGCTAGGATTTGACTCTTAGAATAGTTTAAGTACCTTTAGTTGTTAGTTTTATTTATTAGTCCTATCCTATTAGTTTGGTAATTAGTTTAATTATTAGTACTCTTGCTTAAATTCACAATAAGATGATTAGCTTAGTTGGTAAGAAGGGTGTTAATCTTAAGATTAAGTTAAGGTTCAATTCTTGTTAATCTTGTTAATTAGCGAAGATCCGGTTTAATCCACAGGTTCCCGGTAGATTGGCTTTATGAGTTGAGCCTTTGTTGGTGTTGTTTTTGGATGGTTAAGCGAATGAGGTAACTCATGCTTTACAAAATCTATTTTCTTACTTATATGATGATTTCTTGGCTTCTACTTGTGATTCTTGTGTTAATTTGTGAGATTTGATGCATTGTCTTGTAGTAATGCATGTTTAGAGCTTGTTCTTAGGGTTCTTGAATGTCATTGCTTGGTTATTTCTTGGGTTCAAGTCATATTATTGTTGTGTGTTAGATTTTTTGGTGTTTTGGACTTGAACTTGGCTTTATTGATGAATTTCCCCGAAGGGAAAATTATTGTGCAGGGTATGTACCCCGCGGGCAGGAGCACGGGTAGGGCACTACCCATGGCCCCACCCACGGGGAACATGTTTGATGATTGCGGGGAATTGTTCCCCGTGATCCCTTCTTCTTGGTATTTAATGTTTTGACCTCCCATTGTTGAATTATTGAGCTTTTGTGAGTCTTCTTGATGTTTCGTATGTCGAGAACGATGAGTTAGGAATCCATGTTAGGATTTGGTGTCTTGAATCGTGCTTATGATCCAACCTTGTGATTCGTTGGATTGATGTTGAGTCTTTGTGGTTCATTGGAACTATTTTGGTTTACCCGTTTGATATGCATGCTAGTCTTGGTGTTATTGATACTAGTATGTGTTGTTTGTCTCTTTCTATTGAGGATTGGCAACTCGTGTTGCCAATCATGTTGATACTGGATTGAGGTCCATTGTTGTTGTTGAGTATCATTTCATGTCCTTCATTGAAACCCCTTGATTGAATCCCTTGATGTGATCCCGTGTGTATGATTATTCCTTGATTAAGCTATTGTTGAGCTTATCCTTTGTTGTACACACTTTGTGTGGAATCTAGGTGTTGCTGTATCTCTAGATCCCGTGTGTATTGACTCTTGAGGAGATGATGGATTGGTGCGATGAGATGATTGAGCTGGTAAAGTGGACAGTGTGGGGACTTATGTGTGAACGGACCGGTAGTACGTGAAGCTCCGGACTGCCATTTGGTTACTTGTGACTTGTGGGCAACATGGGAAACTCATTCCGGTTGCCAGAGATGGTAACTAACCCGTTGAGCTTGGAATCTCAATAGAGGGTGTATACACTTAAAGTTGCTAGCTCTGTTTCCATTGGGCTGCGGTCCTTGTTATTGCGATGACACTATGCATGTGATCCGGATCGTTGTGATGACTACGTGATACATGTTTGTTGATGATTTGGAGCCCTCCACACTGATCCACTATGAATTGAGCCGTGGTGCTGACTCCATGGTATAAGAACTTGGAATTGTGAATCTTGTAACATGTAGTTGTCACTGTGACATGTAGTTGCCAATATGTGAATTTGTACTCTTTGCTTTTGAGCATGTCTTGATGTATTTTACTTTGTGATCAGTAGAATACATCTCGAGTTGTATTATTTACAGTTGGTATTCTTGTCTTGTTGTTGTTGTAAGGATGTTGATTTCCTTTTCCTTTGAGAGTGTGAATGAGTCTTTGAAGTTGACTTCTCTCTATGACTTTTGAAATGATATATATTGTATTCCGTTTCGAAAATGGTTTTGACTTATACTATTTATATATGGTATTTAACGCGTATTGATGAGTTACCAGCAATGTTCGCTGACCGGGTGTCATTCTCTATCTTTATGTTGCTTTACAGGTTTTGAGTAACATCTTGGAGAGCGCTCTAGCAGATCGTTAGTTAGTGTAGCTCCTTGTGACTGTTTAGTTAGACTTTTGGCCTGTGAGCCGTGGATTTTTATAAGTATGACTTTGACGTTCGTTTAGACCTAGCCTGTGCACCTATAGATGTGTAGGTGTGGCATAACATCTCCCGTACTTGTTTATTAGCTTCCGCGTTTCTTATGATGATGTTTAGACAGTTAATCCCTTTAATTTATGTTTTAAAAGTTGTTGAAAATCGAGGGTGTTACAACCATACACATCAAAACAACAAAGATACCTACGGGCAAAATAGCAAAAAAAAAGTACATACTAGAGCCATCGCAAAAAAATAAAATAATAATAATAATAATAATAATAATAATAATAATAATAATAATAATAATAAAAACCTAATAACGGCGTACAACCTTACTTACACCATTGGGCCTATCCCATCCAGACCCCCCATCCGCATCCACGCGCTGACCCGCGATAGCTCCCGCAACTACAAACCGGGGAGAGGGCTGCTGCTGCTCCAAAACCGGGGTGGACGGCAGATCTTCTTCGCCAACTTTCTTCTGCTGGGCGGCAATAACAACCACGTCGACCGCATCAAAGTTTGCCGGGTTGGCCCAAATCTCGTCTTCACTAAGCGCACATGCCGCTCTCGCATCAATAGAAGCTGCTGCACTGGAGGATCCCAACTCATCTGTCAACCGCATGAATTTCCGAGCCCCAATAACAAGCCTAGCGAAACCATCCGTGGGCCGGGGGAGGTCATTATGCTGCTCCATAAACTGGACCATGTCCTCCAACGTTGCAGCTAATGCATCGGTCTTTTCAGCATAGATTTCTGCCTTAATCTACAATTTTGTAATGAAATTTCATTAAACAATAAGCAAATGAAACAGAGACACATTAGTAGAAACAAACATGTTATGGTACGCAAAGGCGCATGCTACCAATCAAACAAGCCACGACCCACCCCACACAAACGCCACCAGAAAAAAAAATTAAAAAATAAAAAGAAGAAGAAAGAAACAGAAACCTATATGCCAAAAGATTAACAGCCCCATCGAAAAAAAAATAAACGCAAAAAGCACACACTGTTGGCACCGCACGCACAGACCGGAAAATGCATACTCACACGCCTAGGCTACGCACATACCAATGACCTACAAACAACGTGGTATTATTTAATAGAACAACATGTTTATAGCACACTGCACTAACCTACACACAGAGCACACACTAAAAAAAAAGAATTTAATTTATAACCCGTCAAAAGATGAGAAACACCGAAATAAAAACACATTACGAATCAAAAGAGAGCCGGAGACGTTAAAATCCCATTATCACGAGCCCCCCCCCCCCCCCCCCCCCCTGAATATGCAATATGCACATACTATCGACTATAAATGCACAAACCAAATCATACATACAAACAAACAGCCAAACGCACCAACCGGATACAGTCTACGCACATACTAAAACATGAAGGCCCACCAACCAAAATCTGAGAACCAACCAAACAAATTACCTTAGCAGGAGCATCAACAACAGGTGGATGAACGTCCCCTCATGCATCAGGCGCCTAAACCGACCCATAAAAAAAACAACCACTTTAGGACACACGCAAACCAAAAACAAGCATAAACAACGAAGGGAATGAAGAACACAAATACCTCCAGAATATATGGACCAACCACCTCGCCACGTCCAAAACCACCCATCCTGAACTCAGATAGTTGTCTGGCCTTTAATGCACTTGTAGACCAACCCCTCAAGGCTGGCAACGCCCGGGGCACAACCCTCTCCGAGTGTACCAACCTATCAACATAGAGCAACTGAAAAATGACACATATTAGGGACTCACACGCAGAACACACAAACAAAATAACGGACAATATAATATATTCTACAGCAAACATCATACCAATAAGTATACAGTGGGTCCGGAAAGAGGCTGGTTAGGATCCATAATCCACTTCGCATGCCGATCAACTAAATAGTCAATCACAAACTTGCACCAATTGAGATTTTTTATCTCATCAACGTCCTCAAAAGTAGTGGTACACAAGTTGATTGGCATATCCATTCATCATAGGCGTAGCCAAAGTACTAATCGCCAACACCGCAAAATGCCTCTTAAACCAGACATCCCCCTCAAGATTACCTCTTAACATGGAGGCAATCATAGCCAAAGTAACTGCATGGTTGGACTTCTCAAACTTCGAACGCCACTCCTTCAAACTGTCACTAATATCGTCCTTCTGCCTTTTGGTGATGACAACATCACCGCGCTGCAGCCCCAAAACATAATAGACATCGGCCTCCAACATAGAAATGGTCGATCCATTTTTAAGCCGCAAAAGCATGGCGACGGGATCGAAATTCGTAAGCAACCACCTAGCCAACGGCTTCGGGATGTCATGCACTTGAAGGTTCAAAACCTCTCCCAAACCCAGCTCGACTACATCTTTCCTCTGGCAGGCATTAAACCGCTTGATAGGTTTGACAAGATGCTTTGGAGAGGCGTGAATCTTCAAGGGGGAAAAAATTGTCTCATCAACCTCGTCAGGCTCAGCATCCGATCCATCCGTATCCCGTGCCGGTTGAGCGGGTTCTTGGGGCACTTCTACTGCTTTCGACTGTGGCAAAGGTGCCACCACATCAACTACACCAACCGGCTCAACACCACCATCCCCTGCAAATGACACAAATCAAAAGACCGAAACCAAAAACAAAAAACCCCATAACTTAAAGAATACCACTACAAAACATCATAAAACTGAAAAGCAATGACCTAAGGACAAACCCAACAACCATAGTGCACAAAGCTAAATAAAAAATGCAAGCCTACAAAAAATAACCCCCCAAAACGAATACCATTAAACCTAGCTTGACCAGGATGACACGCATCCACGCACAAATTATGAAACCACACACACGCAGCGCCGATAAACTTTTAACCACAAACTATAAGTCCATTTAGACTAAGTTGCACACGATGACATACATCTATGCACAAACGTGAAGACTAGCAAATCTGTTGAATAACATAGTACTGGACACAAAACAAAGATCCCAAAAATAAATAAAAAACTTAAAACACACAACACAAATGCATAACATCAAAAAATTGAAAAAACAATGACCAAAGCATACACCAAATACCCATAGTGCACAAAGCTAACAACTAAAGACAAAACCCCCCAACCCGACGCACAAGCCACACCTCAACCCCACACACACTTGCCAAAAAACACCCACAAAAGTAAATTCCATTTACCCTAGCTTGCACACTATGAAACACATCTATGCACCAACCATAAAACACACACACACCACAACAATAACGCGCATGTCAGAATAGGAAAAAATTACCCGGCTTTCTACCCTACGCAACAACATAGCACACCAACAACCTTGAGCACACGCAAGGACCACACAACGCACCTACCTAAACAATGACTTTATAACTAAATCCAAAACCAAACCCAAAAACACAACCTAAAACTAAGCGACTAGAATAAAGAAAACCAAAAAAAAAAACAAAAAAAAAAAAACAAAAAAACAAAAAAAAAAATAAACAAAAATAAACAAAAAAAAAAAGGGGAAATGCCAATTCCACAACGGCCTACTTACACACTGACACGGAACTACCCCACAACCTACCCACACAAACTACAGACATAAAACAACCACACCACATATATTTAGTACCGAAAAAACCCCACCTTTTACAACCCAAAAAAAATACTAATTCTGCACATGACCCACCCAAATCAACAACACACACCTCTCAAATGAATACTAAACACGAACCAACCAAAATCATAAACAAACAATCAACAGAGAAAAAAAAAAACGCAAACAAGAACATCGGCCACCCCCCCCCCCCCCCCCCCACCCTCCCCAACAAAAAAATTCAACAACGCCCAAAAAAGGGCACCCGGTGAAAACAACCACCCACACCCACCCCCCCCCCCCCCACAGCTATAGAGTACAAAAAAAAAAGAAAAAAAAAAAGAAAAAAAAAAAAGAACAGACGACCTACCATTCCGCCCACCGCCGCCACACCACCACCCGCACCCAACAAAAACACCCGCCACCAAACCCCGACCCAAAACCCCCACTTAACGCAGGAAACAACCCAAACAAACACACATGTAACAACCTAGACCTCCTAATCTAAGTTCGGGACTACTGAATCCTCAAATACCAGAACCCCCAACGTTTAAAAAAAAAAAAAAAAAAAAAAACTAAATCAAAACCCATACCCTACCCGCCGCTACACACACCTCCACGCATGAGCCTACCCGGCTCCGGCCACCGCCGAAAACCCAACACCCCGATGAAAACCCCCAAAAAAACACAGAAACCCCACCTAAGAAGCACGAAGACTACACACCCGAGAATGAGACCCCCAAACCCTTCAATTCAGAAGAAAAACCAACAAAAAACGAAACGAAAAATACCTAAAAAAAAAAAGGGCAAACAACGGAATACCTGCCATGGAACCCGAAGAGTTACTCCGAAACCGCTTAGACCGTCGGACGCTCGACCCAGCCATGAAGAACACACGCAACGACCTCTGTGAAGGAAGGGGAGGACTGCAGTGGATGACGAAAATGCGGAAATACAAAGCCTATTCAACGAAGCGACAGCGAGGGAAGATAAACAGATGATCAGACCA